AAAGATAAACTGAATGGTGCTCCCTGCAGAAGCCAAGACAAGCCTTAAGAAATACTTGGAGGGGCTGGGAAGGTGGCTCAGTGGTAGAGCGCTTGCCTTGCATGCTTGAGGCCCTGGGTTTGATTCCTCAGCACCACATAAGCAAAAAAAGAAAAAAGCTGGAAGAGCTGAGGCATAGCGCCCAGGCCCAGAGTTCAGGCCCCATGACCAGACAAAAAAAAAAGAAATACTTGGAGCCAGGCATCAATAGCTCACACTTGTAATCCTAGCTACTCAGGAGGCTGAGATCTGAGGATCATGGTTCAAAGGCAGCCAGGGCAGGAAAGTCCATGAGACTTTTACCTCCAATTAACCATTAGAATACCAGAAGTGGCACTTTGGCTCAAAGTAGTAGAGCACTAGCCTTGAGCAAAAGAGCTCAGGGATAGTCCAAGACCCAAGTTCAAGCCCCACAACTGACAAAAAAAAGTGGAAAAAAAGTACATCAGCCTTGTTGGGTAGCTGCACAGGTCTGTACAATAGAAACAGCTGACAAAGAACAAAATATTCCTGCAAGATGGGTTGCTCTGCCTAAGTATGGCCAGGATTCTTTGCCTTCAGGTTGAACAACTTCTCTTGAGACTAACATCCCTTCTTGAAAGATGTTCATACCTTTGGTCATTGTAGCCCCTTGGCATTTCCAATTTCCTGGGAAAGGGTTGTCAGTGTGTAACTATGGATGGCTCATAGAACCACTCACTTATGATGCTTTATTCATGAACACATTCAAAAGGCATAAGTCAGCACTTGGGAGGCAGAGACAGGAAGATCCCAAGTTCCAGACTAGCCTGGGCTACATTTAATTCTAGACTAGCCTGAGCTATATACCAAGACTCTTTAAATAGAAAATAATTAACAAGCCAAGTGCTGGTGGCTCATGCCTGTAATCCTAACTACTCAGGAAGCTGAGATCTGAGGATCACAGTTCAAAGCCAGCTTGGGCAGGAAAGTCCATGAAACTCTTACCTCCAATTATCCACCAGAAAACCAGAAGTGGTACTGTGGCTCAAGTGCTAGAGCACTCACCTTGAAGATCTCAGGGACAGCACCCAGGCCCAAAGTTCCAGCCCCAGGACAAAAATATAACATAGGAAACTAGAACACTAGAACAGGTCCCTTTCCAACACCTTTCTGTGGCAGATGTTACTTTCCCAGGGCCACGAGTCCTGGTGCAGCTAGAATCATATGCTCAGGGTTTTGTCCTTGTTTAGTTTTGCTTTTTCTTTGCTTTGAACTCAAGGCTTCATACTTGCTTGGCTAGCTGTTATACCAATTTAGCCATACTTCCAGCTCACCTTTTTGCTAGTTATTTTGGAGATGGGGAATCTCATGGACTTTTCTGCCCTGGATGGCTTCAAACCACAGTCCTCTGGAGTTCAACCTCCTCAGTCAGTAGCTAGGATTATAGGTGTGAACCACCAGTGCCTGTCTACATTCTGTGGGGTTTTTTGTTTTTTAACCAGTCCTGAGGCTTGAATTCGGGGCCTAGGCACTGTCCCTGAGCTCTTTTCGCTCAAGGCTAACACTCTACCAATTGAGCCACAGCGCCACTTCCAACTTTTTCTGTGTATGTGGTACTGAGGAATCAAACCCAGGGCTTCATGCATCCTAGGCAAGTACTCTACCATTAAGCCACATTCCCAGCCCTGCATTCAGGTTTTAAAACGAAAATTTGTCTAGATTTTGCTCCTTTTCTCACTTCTTTTCCAGGTCCTTATTTGAAATGAGAGGGAGGGAATCTAAAGGAGGAGGCAAATCCAGCAATAGAAGTAATAAAACTTACTTTTAATGTTTCCACCAGATCCTCTCAGGCTCAAAACTAGCCCTAGATTTGGGCACCAACTGGCAGAGGCATGGACGGCAGATTGCCCTTTGAACTTGCAGGCCTCTCTGTCTGTGGAGGGGGAGGGGGGTCTTGGGCTGCATAACCTTCCGGCTGACTGCTTAGCTGGGTCACAAAATCGGAGAGCTGTGATCCTCCTACCAGCAGGACTGCCCCACGGTGCTCACTGACTGGAGTCCGGAGCTGGGGGCTGAGGGCACAGCTGCAGTCCCCACAGTGTCCCACTTCTCTGGATCCTTCCTTCTCTGTGTTGCTGCCTCTTGCTGGGTGAATGCTGTTCTTCAGAACAAGGGTGCGTCTCCAGATTCCGGAGATCCTATAAACAACTTGAAGTCAGGCTCTCAAGCTCTTAGATTACTCTTCAACCAGAGTTTGCTGAATCCATACTACTGTAGACATCTAACATACTATAGCTACCTAATACTAGTGATATACAAAGATGTACATCTTCTGTGGAGAGTACTTGTCCAAAATGGTGCTCCTGTTTTCCTAATCTTAAGGACACAGTCCAAAGATAAGGTTTTGTATAAGACAATCAGAATGTTATTTTAAAAATACAATAGTCCAGGTGCCAGTGGCTCATGCCTGTAATTTCAGCTACTGAGGAGGCAGAGATCTGAGGATCGAAGTTTGAAGCCTGCCTAGGCAGGAGAGTCTGTGAGACTCTTTCAGTTGACCACCAAAAAACCTGAAAGTGGATGTGTGGCTCAAATGATAGAGCAAAAAAATTTCAGGGACAGCACTTGGACTCTGAGTTTAATTAAGCCCCAGGACACACACACACACACACACACACACACACACACAGAGTCACTAAGGAGGGAGAGAAGGTAGTTCTGTGGTAGAGCACTTGTCTAGCATGCATGAGGCTCTGGGTTCCATCCCTAGCACTGCCAAATTAAGAGACAAAGAAAGAGACTATAAAGGACAGAATAACCAAATGCCATCCATGAACTTTGATTAGATTCTATACCAGAAGTGGGAAGAAATGAGGAAAAAAATATTTATGGGGCTATAGAGAAACATAAATATAAACTGATAATTGGATGATGTTGAACTAAGGCTAATTTTCTTAGATGTAATCATGGTTTTTGATTTTGTAGAATTTTATTGCTTGTATCTATCTGCTGCAGTATGTAAAGTTGAAGTGTCGACTAGTTATTTCAAATTATTTAATATAAAAACTTCTGTCAAAAAGACAAAACGTTTTTTTTCTTTTTTGCTTATGTGGTGCTGAGGAATCAAACCCAGGGCCTCATGCATACAAGGCAAGCGCTCTACCACTGAGCCACCTTCCCAGCCCCGTATAATTTATTTTCAACATAGTGTTTCAACTGCTGCATTTGTTCACCCTTTGTCCCTCCATTTCTGCGCAGCCGCCCCAAAGACAGATAAATGAACAAACAAGGCAAAAACAACAACAACAACCCTTGTTTTCGTTTCCTGGAGTTCACGTCAATAAATAGTTTATATGATCAGGGGCACATAGGTCTGTGAGATTCTTTTTTTCTTCCAGTCATGGGGCTTGAACTCTGGCCTGGGCAATGTCCCTTAGCTCTTCCACTCAAGGCTAGCATTCTACCACTTGAGCCACAGTGCCACTTCCCGTTTTCTAATGGTTTATTGGAGAGAAGAGTCTCACAGACTTTCCTGCCCAAGCTGGCTTTAAACCTCCATCCTCAGATCCCAGCCTCCTGAGTAGTTAGGATTACAGGTGTGAGCCACCAGTGCCTGGCTGGTCTGTGAGATTCTCCATTAACCACCAAAAGGCTGGAAGTGGAAATGTGGCTCAAATGATAGAACCCTAGTGCCCAGATCCTGAGTTCAAGGCCCAGCACCAGCGTGGAAAAAAAAATCCACTATTTTTGCCTCTTGTATCTAAGTCAAAAATATTTTGAGCTAAATATGTTGTGCACTGAACCATGCATGTTCTTTCCTCACAGAATGTAAACAGTAGTGTCTCTATCCAGAGACTGGGCAAGACCGCAAGTGTCAGGTGCGAGATTGTTTTCTATTCTTGGCAAAAGCAAAGAAAGCTCATTTTGCTTATCACGGAGCTCATGTTCCACTAACTCCTACCTAAAGGACACACAGGTCAAAAAAATTTCGGGCTAGAGAACTAAAATCGTTTTCCAAACTATAGTTTTATGATTTGGGAGCAGTAGTTAAGCTAAAAATGGAGGAGTGCCAGCATACTGTCACGAGCTGTCTCAAATGATATATGATCATTTGCTGTGGTCAGCAAAGGAATTGTGGAAGTGTGAATGAGGAACTGGCTCTTGTTTTTGTCTGTCTTTATTGCTATGACTGAATGTTACAATTTTGGGGATTGATTTTAAAAAAAAATAAGTCTTCTGGATCAAGTGTCTGAATTTGCTATAAAATCATGATCATAAGTCTTTAGACTTCTTTATTTAAAAGAATAAGAAATGGACTTCACTTGGAGCATAAGTCTTAGGCTTTTAGTACGGAAACAATTCTTAAACTTACTGCCATAAAACCTTTAAAGATATAGAAAACTATCTGGGGACAAATGCAGGCAGATGAGATAACACCGAACACATCTCTGAGTGATTTACTAACCTAGAATTGTTTCAACGTAAGATTCTGAACCAGCTGAAGGAGTTAGAAACATTCAAACTTAACGCGTTTTCGCCGAATTGCGAAGACACTACATTTCCCAGAAAGCCTTGGTGGTGGATCTCCAGTATTGCTAGGTCTTTTTGCCGCTATACGTGCTGGGAAATGTAGTTCTTCGAGCAACCAGAACGTGACGCTTTGGGAAGAAAAAAAAAAAGCGAGGAGGGTCGGAGGCTCCCGAGTAGAGCACTCGGCCGGAGGATTAACCCCGCGCCGTCCTCCCTTGTGGGGACAGCCCCCGTGGTCTGTCCCCTGCCGTGGAGTGAGCTTGCCTGGATTCAGGGGCTGGCCGGAACCGCTTTGGAGCGGGGGGGAAAGTCCCGGTGGGTGAAGCCGCGACGCCGGGTCCCGGTTCCCAGCAGCCGGGTGGGGCCGAGGAGAAGGTGCGAATCGCCGGGGGCTCGAACTCTGGCCCTGCGCCCCACCCAGGCTGCGGCCGCGCGGGGAGGAAGCGCGCACCGCGCATCGAGTGAGCGCAAAGTTTCCTTTTCTGCTTTGTGGTCGGAGCTGTGAGCGGGCGGGGGACCACCGGGGTGGGCATGTCTAACGTCGGTTTGCAGAGGGCCGGGTGCTGAAAGGGTTAAAACAGGCGGCTTCCCGCTTCCCGAGGACGCGGCCCCCGCGGCCATGGGCAGCCGCGACCACCTGTTCAAAGTGCTGGTGGTGGGGGACGCGGCGGTGGGCAAGACGTCGCTGGTCCGGCGGTACTCCCAGGACAGCTTCAGCAAACACTACAAGTCCACGGTGGGAGGTGAGGCGCCGCCGGGAGGGGTGGGGGGGTGAGGGGACCCCAGTGCGGCGGGCGGTGGGCCCTGGGGTCCCTCCTGGGGTCGGGAAGTAGGCCAGGTGGCCGGAGTCCTGGAGCGACGAATTGATGGCAGGATGTCGGGTTTGCAACCTCTCTGGGTCTCCCCGGTGAGGTTTTTCCCAGCCCCGGGAAGAGATTAGGCGCAGAAGTGGAGAGGAGAAAAGGGGGGGGGTTGAGAGCGTGCTGGGGCGCCCTGCGGAACCCCCCACCCCCCCGCAGCTGTGGGTTCAGATTTCTCCACTCCGCCCAGACTGTGTGGGACAGGGTAGGGACCTGCTGGGACCCCTGGCCCTGCCTCCAGCTGGAGATGGCCAGCCCCGGGGTGTTCTAGAAAACCCAGGCGGCAGGCTGGAGGATGGGGGGGGGGGGCACACAAACCCCCTAGGTGCCATCGGAGCTCTGTAGCTGTGTGAGTGTTGTTCACTGATATCTAATATCCTAGGCATCTCCCACCCTTTCCCCCTCAAACTGGGGAGGGGAGGAAGGAAGATAACACCAAAAATGAATTCATTTCTTTCCCTGTCTGACCTTTGGACCCAATTGAACGTGTTTTTTTTTTTTTTTGGTGGTTTTGGGTTTCTTTTAATCTTAAGAAATAGAGCTTCTCCCCCACCCCCGCCCCCAGTCCTAGGGCTTGAACTCAAGGCCTGGGCACTGTCCTGGAGCTTCTTTTACTCAAGACTAGTACTCTACCACTTGAGCCACAGGGCCATTTCTGGCTTTTTCTGTTTATGTGGTACTGAAGAATCAAACCTTGGGCTTCAGGCATGCTAGGCAAGCACTCTACCACTGAGCCACAATCCTAGCCCCAGAAATAGAGCTTTTTGCTAATTAGAAAGTAGCTAAAAAGAGTGGGCAATGGAAAGGAGTAATTTATCTCCATTAAAATAAAATGTAAAAACAAGAAAAAAAGCTTTTTTTTATGTCTTCAAATACACTTTTTATAACTAATGTCAGTTTTAGAAACGTGTGCTGATGTTCATTTGACAGGTTTTTTCCAATGAATATTTACTTTGCACTAAAACGTTCTCAGCAGTATTTGGCAAAATTAAGGATTTAATTTCAAACACTGTTTCCTGACCACTGCCCCCTACTCTGAAATAATATGAGAACCCTTATTTCAAGAATATGGGCAAAAATGTGTCCTAAGATTTACCCATTGTCCTAATTTTCCTTTAGTAAAGAATATAATTAACTTTATTTTTCCTGCAGCTTTTTTTTTTTTTTTTTTGGTGCTCACACTGGGGACTTGCACTATTGGTTTTTTTTGTTTGTTTTTTTTACTCAAAGCTACCGATCTACCACTTGAGCCACACCTCCACTGTGCAGCTTTTATTTCTGACACAGATACAAAAGAATACTATTTCTTTTTTTTGTTGTTGTTGGTCGTGGGGCTTGAACTCTGGGCCTGAGCGCTGTCCCTCAGCTCTTCAGCTCAAGGCTAGCACTCTACCACTTGAGTTACAGTGGTTTTCTGGTGGTTTATTGGAGATAAGAGTTTCCCGGACTTTCCTGCCCAGGCTGGCTTTGAACTGCGATCCTCAGATCTCAGCCTCCTGAGTAGCTAGGATTACAGGCGTGAGCCACCAGTACCTGGCTAAGAATACTATTTCTAAACTTCAAATTTTTATTTCTCTTATGAAAAAGCTTTTCCCACTAGGTATCAGTGGCTCACACTTGTAATCCTGGGTTACTGGGGAGGCTGAGACCTAGAGGATCACATTTCAAAACCAGTGCTGGATTAAAAAAAAAGTCCACAAGACTCCATTCTCCACATATATATATATACACACACACACATTTTTTTCATGAAAAAGTAGGGCTGGAGACAGCTCAAGTGGTAGAGTACCAGCGAACCAAGTATGAGGTCTCAGAGAAAGGAAGAAAGAAAGAAAGGAAAAGAAAGAAAGAAAAGCAAGCAAGCTAGCTTTTTTTCGAAGAGCACTTATTCAACCATAATTTATGTACTCCACATATCTACTTGCTGGTAGCTTCCAGCATAGCTCTTAGGCCTCATCCATATAATAGCCTCTTCCTAGGAATCCTTTGAGGTACCTTTCATTTATCCCATTGTTGCCTGAGGTAATTCCTACAGCTTTATGGGGGATGTAGAATTCCCCAGAGTGTTTTTCTCATACTACAATTTGATTAGAAACTAACAGTGAAATTGAATGTGGAAGATACAAAATCCACCACACTTACCTCATTTCCTCCATCTTCCCCATCATCCCGTCCCTAAGAAAAACCCCTACAAGGTTCCAGAAACTTTTTAATCTGAGAACAGAAGTTGTATACATAATTACTGCAACCCTCCAGGCCCCAGCCACGGAGAAAAATCAATGAATTCATTTGACAAGAGAAGAAAATCTTAGAGGACTTTAGAGGACTATGAATTATCTGTCCCACACTTGATTCACAAGTATGAGCTCATCTCAGTTTATTGAGGGTTTAAAAATAAATAACTGAGCCAGGCATCAGTGGCTCACACCTGTAACCCTAGTTACTTAGGAGGCTGAGATCTGAGGATTGAGTTTCAAGCCAGGCAGGGCAGGAAAATCTGTAGACTCTATCTCCAATAAGCTACCAAAAAAGCCAGAAGTGGAGCGGTGGCTCAAGTCGTAGATTACTAGACTTGAGCAAAAGAAGCTCAGGGACAGGGCCCAGGTTCCAGGAATGGCAAAATAAGCCAGTGGTTCAGGAGGCTGTGATCTGAGGATCAAGGTTCAAAGCTAAGCCAGAGCAAGAAAGTCTGTGAGACTCTTAATCTCCAATTAACCATGAGAAAGCTAGAAGTAGAGCTGTGGCTCAAGTAGTAGAACTCCAGCTAAAACAGAAAAAGCTCAAGGACAGTGCTCAGGCCCTGACCTGACTGAGTTCAAGCCCTGGGGCCAAGTAGACAAACAAAAACAATTAAGTGGAATTGAAGTTACATGTCTTTAGGATTGTCATTACATATGTGATCTGAATTTATAATTGTATTCTTTTATAAGTAAATTTCATTGACGTGTAATATACATATATTTTCAGTGGATTTTGCTCTGAAGGTTCTCCAATGGTCTGACTCAGAGATGGTGCGGCTCCAGCTATGGGATATTGCAGGTAAAGTGGGAAGGCCAAATAGAAACAAGGAATACTGATTTTTTTGTTTGTTAGTTTGTCCGTCATGGGACGTGAACTCTGGGCTTAGGCACTGTCTCTGAGCCTTTCAAGCTCAAGGCTGGCGCTCTACCACTTGAACCACAGTGCCACTTCAGGTTTTCTTGTGGTTTTTTGAAGATAAGAGTCTCATGGAGTTTCCTGCCTGGGCTGGCTTTGAACTGCGATCTTCAGATCTCAGCCTCCTGAGTAGCTAGGATTACAGGCGTGAGCAAGTTTTCAGAAATAAATTTGTGCAGCAAAGTCAGACACTAACTACCACCCCCTCCCCACCTTGAAGCTAGAATGATTCAGCTGCTCAGTAGATACGAGTTTTGAGATTATCTTTTTTTATAACTGTTTTGCTCTGAATAGCTAGCTATGGAGTAGTTTCTCTGGGGATGGAAATGCTTGTGAGGTGGGAGATGGTCAGACCCAGACAGTAGATGGATGGCCTGCCCATCCATAGGTGGATGCTCACACAGCAGGGGCAGGTGCTTTTTTGAGATTCTCAGCTGACCTTGGTGAGAAACAAGATTCCTAGAAAATAAAGACAATAATAATAGTGAATCTTCATTGTGTGCTAACTCTTCGTCCCAGTATTTCAAATTTATGACTCAATAACCCTCACACACAAATCTGTCATGAAAGCTTTTATCTTACTTTACAGATGAGAAACCTGAACTACTAATAGTCTGACTTGTTAAAGTCACATGGATAATAAATGACAGAGCAGAGACTTGGACTTGAGCCATCATAGAATCTGCCTTGGAGATAATGGTGCTTAATAATCCTTTATGGGATATGTAGATAGAAAAGCAAGAGGGAAGGATGAGGGGCTCTTTCTACCACCTCTACATAATCCTACAGCAGTGACAACAGACAAGGTGGCAGAGAGCTGCTAAGAGTGGTTTTCAGGATCACCTCAAGAACTCTCTCTTCTCCCTAGGACAGGAGCGCTTCACTTCCATGACACGACTATACTATCGAGATGCCTCTGCCTGTGTTATTATGTTTGATGTCACCAATGCTACTACTTTCAGTAACAGCCAGAGATGGAAACAGGATCTGGACAGCAAGCTTACACTGCCCAATGGAGAACCAGTACCCTGCCTGCTTTTGGCCAATAAGGTATGTGGCCAATCTAAGAAAATGATGCCCGGCCTCTATCTAGTGGCTAGAGAGTAAGGAAATCTCATATGCCATCTGATTCTGAGCCTCTGTTTCCCCTTTTTCAAGTTGGCAGGACCTATTTTAACTCCTTTCAGCACCAGGGAATGAATTCAGAGCCTTATACTGGCTAAACCAGCACTCTTCCATTGAGCTAAATCCCTAACCCCAGTCTAACTCTTTTTTTTTTTTGGTCGGTCATGGGGCTTGAAGTCAGGGCTTGGATTGTTGTCCCTGAGCTCTTTTGCTTAAGGCTAGCTCTCTACCTCTACTACTTTGAGCCATAGTGCCACTTCCAGCATTTTGGTAGTTAATTGGAAACAAGAATCTCACAGAGGGCTAGGAATGTGGCTTAGTGGTAGAGTGCTTGCCTAGCTGCATAAAGCCCTGGGTTTGATTCCTCAGTACCATATAAACAGAAAAGCTGGAAATGGCACTGTGGCTCAAGTGGTAGAGTGCTACTAGCCTTGAGCACAGAGGGGCTCGGGAACAGCGCCCAGGCCCTGAGTTCAAGCCCCAGTCCCAGCAAAAAAAAAAAAAAAATAGAATCTCACAGAGACTTCTCTGCCCGGGCTAGTTTTGAACTGCAATCCTCAGATCTCAGCCTCCTGAGCAGCTAGGATTATAAGTGTCAGCCACTGGTGCCTGGCTTCTATTTCCTTCTAAGAGCTGTTGAGATCATGACTTTTTGTTTTTGGCTGGTCCTAGAGCTTGAACTCAGGGCCTGGGCACTGTCCCTGAGCTTCTTTTTCTCAAGTCTAGTTCTCTACCACTTGAGCCACTGTGCCACTTCTGGCTTTTTTGTGTGTGTGTGGCTAATTGGAGATAAGATCCCAGGGATTTTTCCTGCCCAAGCTGGCTTCAAACTGTGACCCTCAGATCTCAGCCTCCTGAGTAACTAGGATTACAAGTGTGAGCCACTAGTGCCCAGCAAGAAATAATGAGTTTCTTTGGATAGAATATTAACTGCAGATTGTAGATGCTGGTAGTTTTAGCCATTAATACAATAGTGGGTTTCCCCCGTGGATATCTGAGTCATGTTCCTGTTCCTAGGAAGTTGATGGTGTTGCCTTTTATGTTTTCTCCTGGTTAGTGTGATCTGTACCCTTGGGCAGTGAGCAGAGACCAGATTGACCGGTTTAGTAAAGAGAATGGTTTCACAGGTTGGACAGAAACATCAGTGAAGGAGAACAAAAATATTAATGAGGCCATGAGGTGAGTAGCTCATGACATCCTTGAGACAGGCACACAGCTTTACCCACCTCCCACTGTAGCCCCATACACCCTCTTGTCTTTTCCAGCCATTGGAATGTCAGCATCTAAAGGCCAGGTGTCTTTTCTCCCATCATAATTGTCAAACAACCTGTGGCTTTACTGAATGCTGCCTGGCAATAAGACAATGTCTGCCATTTCTCCTCTATCCAGCTTCTCAGATTTCTTATTCATTTTCTTTTTAGAGTCCTCATTGAAAAGATGATGAACAACTCCAGAGAAGATACTGTGTCTTTGTCCACCCAAGGGAGCTACATCAATCTAAAAGCAAAATCCTCCCCCAGTTGGACCTGCTGCTAGTAGCATTTGACTCATTTCCCATCCCTGGTGTACAAGGGTCTTTTCATCATTCCTGTTGGTCAACCACCCAGCATAATTGTGTGTGTGTGTATGCTGATCCTGGGGCTTGAACTCAGGGTCTGGGTGCTGTCCCTCAGTCTCTTTGTACTCAGGGCTAGTGCTCTAAAACTTGAGCCACAGTGCCACTTCTAGCTTTTTCTGAGTAGTTCATTGGAGATAAGAGTCTCATGGACTTTTCTGCCCAGGCTGACTTTGAATCGTGATCCTCAGATCTCAGCTTCTTTCATAGCTAGGATTACAGGCAGGAGCTGTTGGCACCAGCTGCATAAAAATTTTATTGAGAGCGTTTGAACTGTCTCTTGCCAACTGGACAGAAAGGAGGTTTGTTTTAACTTTAGAAAGATCTCTGGAATCCATATGCTCTTCTGGATGTTGGCTCTGACTTGCAGTTGGCCTGTGTGGCCTACTTAGCACCTTCTAAGGAAGAACAATTATCTCAGCCCTCAATCTGTATCTGAAATTTTATGAAAAAGGATTAGAAATCAGCATCTGTATTTTACAATTACAAAACTCAAAGCCATGTATGGTGGCATGCACCTTTAATCCCAGCACTCAAGAAGCTCAGGAAGGAGCATTGAGAGTTCAAGGCCAGCCTAGACTGGCTTTGAATCAAAACCTTTAAGTTCTCAGCTGCCTGGGTAGCTAGGATTACAGGCTTGGCTTGGCTTGTTTTGTTTTTTTGAGATGAGATCTTGCAATGTAATATAGCTCATGCTGGCCTGGAACTGGCAAACCTCTTGCATTAGACTACTGAGTGCTAGAATTACAGATATGTACCACCATACCTGTGCAAAGTTTGGTTATTCTTAAAGCCAAGACAAAAGAAAATTAATTATGACTAGAAATTTTGAAAACACAATGGCTTCTGGTTTACCACCAAAAGCCCAAACCCACAGATGTCCAATCTCCCCTATCTGCATTCCACAATAAAATACTGAAATTCCAATTCTAATCCCAGCTGAGATCTGAGAATCACAGTTCAAAGCTAACCCAGGAAAGAAAAGTATGTGAGATGCTTATATCCAGTTAACAACCAAAAAGCTGGATATGGAGCTGTGGCTCAAAGTTGTAGAGCACTTGCTTGAGCAAGAAAGCTCAGGGACAGCATTTAGGCCCTGAGCTCAATCAAGCCCCAGGACCTGCACAAAAAATAAATAAATTCCAAATCCAACCACAGAGAATCTGAAAGCAATGGTCTATGAGGAATTTGGAGAAATACATCTGATTTTATATACCTCTCACTCTGAAGTTGTATTAATGTTATATACCAAATGGAAAAAAATGCTGAAAAAACAAGAGAATTACAATTTTTTTTCCAGATAGGGTTTCACTAACATAGCTCAGACTGGCATGAAACTCATGATTTTCCTGCTTTGTCCACCTGAGTGCTAAGATTACAGGCATGTATCACTGTACCCAGTTTGGATTGATGTCTTGATACACATGGCTGTAAATAATAGCAATTGGCTTGATGCCCTGAAATAAGTCTGTTTCTTGTAGCTTTGTAAAGAAGAAAAGGAAGAGGTTAATAGAACTTAATGCAGCTAAGCAATTATGAACACTTATGTTCATAATTGCTTAGCTATGGGTGGCTAACACTTAACAGCTACAGGAAGCAAAGATATGTGGGCCTTGGCCTGGGGATGGAGAATAGATAGAAAATCATTAGTCAGTTTAAGTGCTAAATTGGGAAGGGTTCTTAATATGACATCATTTCTAGACAGTTCAATTTGTTTTTTGTTGTTGTTTTTTTTTTTGGGTCCGGTCATGGGGCCTGAACTCTGGGCCTGGGCGCTGTCCCTCGGCTCTTCAGATCAAGGCTAGCGCTCTACCACTTGAGCCACAGCGCCACTTCTGGCTTTTTTCTTTTTGCTTATGTGGTGCTGAGGAATCGAACGCAGGGCCTCAGGCATGCAAGGCAAGGGCTCTACCACTGAGCCAACTTCACAGCCCAACAGTTCAATTTGTTAAATTCTTTCTCAGATGGCAATTTATAACCTACCTAAAGTTATCAGTACTCATACTAAACTCAGAGTCCTGAAGTTCTTGGATAGACCTTAAAGACGTATCCTAAATCAATGGTTCCAAAACTGGCTTGTCAGAAACACTCTGAGTTTGTTAAAGGAACTGAAATAGAACTAATTCTTCTATATACTTCTGTCCATAAAGAAGAGGAAAACAACTAAGATGAGAAAAAAAAAACTGGGTGCTGGTAGCTCATGCCTATAATTTTACTTAAACAAGGAGGCTGAGATCTGAGAATTGTGATTCACAGCCAGCCCTGGGCAGATAAGAGAGACTCTTCTTTTCAAATAACTAGTAACTAGGAATAAGCTGAAAATGGAGATGTTTTTCAAGTGGTAGATCACCAGCTTTGGGGGGGAGAGGAGGAAGAGCTAAGCTAGATCGTAAGGCCCCATAGTAGCATGCACACACACGCGCACTTGCGCACAATCACACACACACACACACACACACACACACACGATGAAGATGATTATATGAAAGAATATGTGATCAGAATGTATTTAAATGTTTTTTTCTTTCATGCATTTGTTTCTAACGCATTTATAAGATTATTTCTTTGTTGCTTTGTATGTCCCTCCCCCACAGTATAACCCCTGCTTTCACTGTAAAAAAAAAAAAAAAAGAATATGTTTTCAGACTAAAAACAGCCAAGTGCTTGTGGTTCACACCTGTAATCCTAGCTAATCAGGAGCCTGAGATCTGAGGACCAAGGTATGAAGCCAGCCTGAGCAGAAAAGTCTGTGTGATTCTTATCTCCAATTAACCAGCAAAAGCCAGAAGTGGAGCTATGGCTCAAGTGGTAGACTACCAGCCTTGAGTGAAAAAGCTAAGGGACAGTGCCCAGACCCTGAGTTCAATGCCCACTACAAGCACACACACAAAAAAACATAATCACTAGGTCCCATCCTTCAGACACTAACTTTTTGGTTCAGAATATGCTTTTTTTTTTTTTTTTTGCCAGTCCTGGGACTTGAACTGAGGGCCTGGGTACTGTCTCTGAGCTTCTTTTACTTAAGACTAGCACTCTACCACTTGGGCCAGAGTGTCACTTCCAGCTTTTTCTGTTTATGTGGTACTGAGGAATCAAACCCAGGACTTCATGTCTTCATGTGTGTTGGCAAGCACTCTACCACTAAAGCCACCTTCCTCCACATTCCTAGCTCAGAATATGTATATCCTTTTTTTTTTTTTTTGTCAGCTGTAGAGCTTGAACTCATGGCTTGGGCACCATCATGAGCCTCTTTGGGCTCAAGGCTAGTGCTCTACCACTTGAGCTATAGCACCACTTCCAATTTTTGAGTGCTTTATTGGAGATAAGAGTTTTCAGACTTTGCTGCCAGGGCCAGCTTCAAACCATGATCCTCAGATCTGAGCCTCCTGAGTAGGATTACAGGTATGAGCCACTGGTACCTGACAATATGTATATTGTTATAGTCCATCCCTATAGATATCTCTATATTTGAGACAAGATGCCCCTCTAGCCACTCAGCTGGTTTTGGCTAAAAAGAAAATCCCTTACAGAAAGCCAGGCATCACTATTTCACACCTGTAATCATAGCTACTAAGAAGGCTGAGACCTGAGGCTTGTAGTTCAAAGCCATCTTGATCAGGAAAGTCTGTGATACTCTTCTCTCCAATTAAATACCAAAAAGCCAGAGCACAAAAGCTCAGGGACAGTGCACAAGCCCCAGATTAAAGCCCCAGGACTGGTTGGTGTGCATGCACATGTGCGTGCGCACGTGCACACAGGCACACACAAATTCTTTATAGAATGTTCTGAGAAACCTAATGAAGAGTTGGAGTCAGAGCTGTGAGACAGTGACTTGCCTAGACGTTGTCCTTTAAACTGAATAGCAAGTGACCAACCAAATAGGCAGGGAAACAGGGATCACAGGACAGGAAATGTCTGCAGTGATGATTAGCTCTAACCAATTAGCTAAAATTACTCTTAAGATGATTTCCCTAATGCACTCTGCCTAGCTACTGCTAAGGTATAATTGGTTTTCCTCTTTTTTTTCCCTGTTGTCTTCAGATTAATTTATTCTTTAGGTGGTCTGCCTTATGTCTTCAAGACATTGCCCAGTATCCCATGAGGCTTTTCTCTTGCCTGGTATTATCCTTTGGTATTTAGTGGCCTGTGTTTGACATGATCTAAGGCTGTGGAAAGAGGATATAAAAAATATTGATGGAATTCTGTAAAACCCAATGACTAAATTATCCAGAAAACAAACCTCAGCGCCCTTTTCCCCTCCATCTATTTTGAATTAGTATGTGTGGGAAGATTTCTACTGTGTGTTAAGTAATTCATCTACTCATAATCAAGTCATCCCCAAAGCTGAAGGATGGGATGGGTCACAAGTCACCGAAAATGTTTTACGCTGGAAAAAACCTCTGCATGTATTGTGTGTGTATGTGTGCACATATGTGTGCTGATACTGAACTCAACCTTATGCTCTTATTTAGCTTTTTCCATTCAAGGCTGGTACTCTACCACTTGAACTATGCCTCTACTTTTGGCTTGTGTGTGTGTGTATGTGTGTGTGCACGTGTGCACATGTGCTTGTGCTGCTAGCAGGGCTTGAATTTGGAGTCTGGGAGCTGTCCCTTAGCTTTCCCAATCAAAGCTGATGTTCTTATCACTTCACCCAAGTCACTACTTCTGGAGTTTTGGTGATTAATTGGAGATAAGAGATTTACAGACTTTGCTGTGTCAGCTGGCTTTCAAACTATGATCTTGAATCTCAGCCTCCGGAGTAGATAGGATTACTAAAGGTGTGAACCACCAGCACTTAACTCACTTCTAGCTTTTTGGTGCTTTGTGATTTGGTGATTTGTCTGCCCAGGATAATTTAAACTGTAATCCTCAGACCTCAGACTCCTGAGTAGCTAGGATTATAGATGAGCCACCAACTTTTTTTTTTTTTTTCCCAGTTGTGGGGCTTGAACTCAGGGCCTGGTCACTGTCCTTGAGCCTCTTTGTGCTCAAGGCTAGTGCTCTA